ACACACCCCCACCGGTGGTAAAAATCCCTGAGTATATCTGTGGATTAGAAATTTCGGGAAGAAGCAGGGGTTAAATTCTCCGTCTCCTCCTATGCAATAGGAACATTACATTCACTTTAATAAGTACAGATATATTAATCTACTAATTGTGCTGGGTACATTGTTCGATTAGGAGGTGATTTATGAGGAGACAATTATTAGGCGCAGCGATCTCATAACAAATAAAACAACGTATTGAGTAATTGATATGGTCTTCTTTTTCATTATGTTACATGCTGATGTCCGCAAAATGTATTATATTTATAAATACTTCTGTTTAACAGATTCAAATATATTTCATTATACACTGTAGTGAATAAATGTTGTGTGTGGATGAGTGAAATTTGATTGTTGTTGCGTTTGTGCCAACACAAGATTGCATAATCTTATGACATCTTTTACAGGTACATGGACGCAACACATTTTACAGATGCACTACTTTAATTAACCTCAAAATTGCATACCGTAGCATTATTATATTAAAAGCCGGGTAGTGTGGATACTTTGTTTTTAAATGTTTAATCCTCTTTTTATTAGGTTTCTGTATTGTATATAGTATTTTGTTGTCTTAATGCATTGAAAATCGAAAATGATTAGCATCGGCTATATAGCAAGCCTAAAAACACTTTAAAAAAAGTTGTTTTCCTTTGTACTTGAGGGTTAACTTTTGAACAAAATGTATGGAAAAGTGGCGAATGAATATGTATGTTTGTTGGTTGTTACTAAACAAGCCGTAGCTAGGCTGGTATGTTTCTGGATTAGGCCTAATTCAGAATACTGTACAATATTTGCGGCTTATTTTACGGTATTTATGAAATAACAGAAGGCCTCACATTTCCTGTATCATACTCAAAGCTAGTCTACTTTTATTAAGTCAACACTATTACTCTCGTTAAATACATTGAAAATAAGATGCAAATTTGACAAACCTTTAATTATACTGATTTACAACAGACTACACATTCATGTCTCATGCTGAAGAAAGACCAATTTACAAAAAAAATTATAAAACTAAAATCAAAAGTTTCAAAATACTTATAAAAAGTGTCTTTAATCTTGATACTTCAAATACTGAGTGTAGAATGTGTTTGATCATTGCATACCATTGTCTTAAATTTCTTGAAAATTATTACAAACTTTATTGCAAATTTAATTTTGTGTCTGATAAGTCACAGACACATTCTCAATGAATAAAATAACATAAAAGTACATCTTTCTAAATCATTCCCTTCCATTGGATTTTCTTTCTAGCTAATTATTATTACTGACCACCTACATTTGTCAATGCGATTTTAAACCAAAAAACTGCCACCATCCATGAGCCTTTGTCTGCAAGTCAGAATATCATGTTCACAGCATATTACCTTATTATACCATACTGTAGACCTTTATCAAGTTTTTCTTTTTTCCGAAATCTATGAATCATTCTACAAAATTTTGCTAATTTTCAGCACTTGCCCTGTAATAATTTTAGCTATCGCTTACTGTTACTGGGCATTTATAATGCCAATTTCATTTCGGTTGCAAAGTTCAAGCCATGTGTCCTTAAAATTTCAAATCATCAAGCGAGCAACTGATCCACACCAGAAAAAACTATCTCATACCACACAGAATACAGTCTATGGATAAACAACATAAAAAGACAACGAAAGACACAGACAGAAACAGAGACAAGTGAGTTGGGCAAAAAGATGGGTTTTAAGTGATCTTTTGAAAATATTTACATTAGAAATGTTCTTAAGATCATGAGGAAGATTATTTCGAGTTGGAAAACAAGGAGTTTGGAGTAAGGAGTGTGGATAAATAGGAAGGGGAATATCTATTTATACCTTTATAGACAGTAAGGATGGTTTTAAAAACAACTCTACTTCGACTGGTGATAATGTGGCACCGTAAATTGTGGTACTGTATGTCTGGGAACTTCAACTTTCGATAGTACTATATAGTAGTATTATATTGTACATTTAAAATTTCCTAAAAAATGAAATAAATTTATCTTATACAGCATATTTTGTGTAATATATCTTTTAATATATTATCAATCTTATTTCAAAATCTATATCATTTACAAATATTAGGATAATTTAAATGCTATAGATGTTACAAAATTAATGTCATCTTCTCTATCTTATATAATTTATATATGTTTAGAATTTATTTTTACTTTATTCAATTATTTTTTATTTAATTCAATTATTTCGAAAACCTCCGGAACGGAAAAGTAAAATAGATTATACTTATAAAAAATAAATTATGATATTTGGAAATGATCATTATAAAATATTTCATAATAGACATTATAATATGAATGAAACTGATTGACATATAAACTCATTGCACCAAAGTTATTAGAAATTATATTGTACCCTACAGGATTCGAAACAGCAAATGTCAAACTCACTGGAGATGCTCACTAAATTACGAATGTCCACGATGATGAGAGATGATGCATTGGAGTGGTTAATTCTGCCCCACTAACAAGCTACTCACATTAAGCTAGAAAGTAATCAATCAGCCACAGAATTTTATGATTAATCATATATATTTGTCCGTTCCACCATTTGACTTTTACGCCCATAATTGAGTTCAGCACCTCCAGATAACAAGAAGTCGATGCCCGTGGTAAAGGTTGCTTCAGCCGCGAGGAACAAACACACCTGACCACTCTCTTCAATGCTTCCAAAACGACCATTTAACTAAAAAATACAGGAGGAAAAACATAAAGTTTAAAGTACAGTAATCAGTTTAAGACAAAAATGACTAAACTGTGCAGTAAAAGCATAGCCTGCCCATGGTGTGATAGTCATTTCGCTGAAAATTGATAAGTAGGAATTTCAAACCAATCACTTAAAAAAAAAAAGATCACTTTAAAGCCAATATGCTAATTACTCATTTGCATATTCACACACGCACCAAAAACAATAGGTCAATAGTCTTCTTATTCCCATTTTGCATTCTGCCAAGTTTGTAACCAATCAGACTTACCAAAAACTTTAGATTAATTAATTAATTAGATATCATGGTAACAACCAAATGACCAACAACGACAGTGACAACAACGACAACGACGACATCAACATGAAGAAGAACATAGGCAAAAACAACAGCCTTCCCGGAGCTTCGCTCCTTTAGGGAGGCTAATAATAATTTAAAAAAAAAAAAAAAAAAACGCTGTCTACTCTGGTTATTCCTAAAAATAGATCAGTTTATTTTCATTTACCTGAGCATCACGTCCTCCTTCTACCATAGCCTCAGGGTTGCTTGATTGTCTTGCTAATGAGTCCCACAAAGGAGTCCAAATATTACCAGGTGAAACACTATAAAAACAATATCAAAGAAATATTAAATCATCACTACATTTTAATACCTTCTATCTATTCTTAAAGAACATGATTCTCTTATTACAACTCTTTAGTATAATACGCTTGCACAGATATACTCTATGCTGTGGTGGAATGTATAAAAAAAAAAATGGAAAGTATTAAAACTCTTCTGTAAAATGGAATGTGTGGTTCATCACAAGTTCGCGTTCCAACTACACATTTTATCAGGGAGTTGGTAATAGGACCTATGTTTTAAGAGATGACCAATGGCTGATAGCACCCTGTCCGATAAGAGTAATTTTGACCTAGTTTCTGCAATATACTCATGTACCTATGAGAAGCATATTTCTATTACTAGCACCATTCCTTCTGGAATTTAGGGGGCAATGATATTAAGGGGACATTTTTCCATAAAAATGAGATGACTAATAATGCCAATGTCTAATAAAAAATTATATACTATCTTATGAAATTTTGAAATTACTTTTAAATAACAAAATTTCAATTTAATTCTTTATTCCACTTCTTCAAGAAATACAATAACACAGTAATATTAAAAAACGGTCATAGAAAAAAATGAAAAAGGTATACAAAGCAAGCATAGATTATGTATCCTAAAAAAGAAATATAAATACATATAGGAATATATATAATCAATGTAAATATAGTATTGTAATTGAATTTGAAACATCATGCCAAAAAAAACATGTTGATTCACGAAACGAAAGCCTATTATTACATAAAGGGGATTTATCCAGCAAAGATCTATTACATTTTTCTCTGTATTTATTAATAAAATAATCATTTAGTTTTACGTTAAAATTGTATTTATTTTAACTTTTCCATATATCTTCAGGTATGTGTTCTCTTTTCTAGGAATATACAAACCATCTTTGTTTCGAGTATTGTGATTATGCACAGATTCTGCAGTTTGGAAGAACTCGTTAAAACTAATTAGTATATTTCCATTTTAATAATTATACATAAACATTGCAATATTTTTATCAAAGAGATAAAAAATGTTAAGTGTATTTGTATAAACAAAAAGAGGAAGTAAGGGGTGAACATAGCATGTAGTTTAAATAGCCTCTGGAGATGAATAATATTTGCAGATCCCCACGAAGTTATTGCATAATTTAAGTGAGGAAAAAATAATGATGTATAGATAGTAATTAATATATTAGTAAGTAGAATATTTAAGTTTTAAAAAAAAACCAGCTGTTTTTGATATATTTTTAGCAATATTATCAATATGGTGAATAAAATTAAGATGACAATTATATGGTTTATTTCTAGTTCTAAACATAATATATTTAGGCCTAGTTCAGACAAGGTGGATAAACCTAGCTCAACTCACCGGGTTTATCCACGTGCCAGTCTGAACTAGGTGGCTTATCTCAAGTCGGGCTGTGTTCCTATAGTAACTAGGCCTGGAGTGCCACCGTGTTTAACTTTTCTAAGCCGGGCTTTAACCATTGCGGGGGGTCTTGCATTGACTTCGGGTGATGAAATGACCAATCAGCATTCAATTACGTACGCTGTAAGCGAGCATACAATTCGCGAGCAATGTTTTGAAGCACGTTTTCTGGTTACGGTTCATTATTATGCAAATTCTCGCCTGGCTAAACCCGCTAGTCTCAACGCCCGGCAAAGTTAAGCCGGGCTTAACGTTGAGCCGGGCATAACTTTGAGCCAGGCTGAACGTTGAACCAGGCTTAACGTTGAGCCGGGCTTAACGTTAAGCCCGGCTTATCTCCAAGTCTAAACGTAGCCTATGTTTTGTTACTGTTGGCAATTAATTTGTTGGCTTTATGCTTTAAGCCAACAAATTAATTGCCACAACAAACAGTAACTAAATGCACAAATAAATAACCAGCAGTTAAAACAAAGGTTTTGACAATCAACGCTCTACAGCCCGTTCACACTATTAAATTTTATTTGACAAAATTATGTGAGATGCCTAAATATACTGGTATTGGTACAAATAGCCATCTTCTTCAAGACATTTGGCAGATATTGACTTGACATTGTCACTAGTAGGATACTGCTTTTAAAAACTATAAAATTTGAAGCAAACCAACAGCAACTCTGCCATTATCATAGAGGATGACAATATAATGTAGTAATTAATATAAGATAGTATAATACAATTACATACTCCCAGTATCAAAATGCACGCCATTGTGTTGTGATTAAATATTTCGACGTTAATTATGTCGTCATCTTATCTGAGATTAATCTGTGGACTTTTCGGTTTTTAATATAATGTAGGTAAAAATATATATATATATATGGTCATAACATCACATCATGACCATATATAGGCACAACATGTCTATATATGGGCATACAACAGTTTTTTTGCGTGCACATAGCATAATAGTAAAAATAACTCACGTATTGACTCGTACTCCGTGTTTTGCCTCGTCAATTGCTAAAGCTCTAGAAAACGCATCTATTGCACCCTGAAACAGAATCAATAATTATTTATTTACTATCTGAAAATAGAGGCTGTCACAAAATGATTCTTCAAAAGTTGTTCTGAATATTGGTTGCACTCTTAATAGCTTATTGGGATTTTAGGAAAACTCTTGTGCTGTTTGTCACTCATCGTTTTTATGCATAAAAAAATTATTCAACATATGTTATACTTTGTTTTCTACAGAGCTATAGAAAGTAAAGGTAGGAAGGTAAAGGTAGGAGAATAACCAATAACTTGTAGCGTCATTGAACTCTGGGCGAGAACCAGTATTACAGCTGTAGTTAACGGTGCCCCTGCCATACTGCTTGGCTACTTGACTCGCTCAGAATGTAAAGAAACAAACAGCGTAATCACAGAAGTCATGGTTTACTATGTAAATAAAGTGTGAATGTGATTCTGTAAACACGGTATTAATGAATCCGAAAGATAATAAATAATTTTCGGGTTTTAGCGTTCTGTGAGTGCTTTCAAATTTTGTTTGTTTGTTGAACATGCTTACCTTGGTGCAGACGTATGGAATCGCATGAGACTGACCCAGTTTGGCCACAAGGCTGGACATATTTATTATGTTCCCTTTAGTTTTTCGCAAATGTGGTAAGGAATACTGCAAATAAAATCATTATAATAAAATAATAAATTACTTAGAAAATTTATGGGCCTGCCTATTCAATGAACAGGTGTGTAAATCAGCTATGTCACTTTGTAGGTCAACTGAAGCCAATAACTGTATACACTCATGGTTTGTAAAATATTATTATTTACTTAATTAGAATTTTTCAAAATGATATCAACTAGAAGAGTTTATGAATTTATTATCACATTGTTAATATATTTTACTATTTTAGATCCTCTACAAAAAAAAGCTGTCCATTTACCAGTAATAATAATAATAATAATTCTGGATCTATATAGCGCCTCACACTGACACAACCTCAAATACAGTACAGGTCAATTGGCTTGTTTTATAAATATAACAGTTACACTGTACAAATTTTGTACTGTATCATTGAAAGCTTAATTTATGTTTTGATTTTTGTTTTAGATTTTTAAAATTATTAATATGTTTGTAACAAGGAAGGCTATTCTGATGCTGATTCTGTACATACCTTTGCAAAAGCAAAATAATTTATTAGGTTAAAGTTCAACAGCGATTTCAAATCATCAACAGATATATCATCAATGACTTGTTCTGGTGGGTCTGTAACAAATATAATATAGAAACAGTTATAAAAATAACATGGTAATATTATTGCTAAAATTGGTATAGATATTTAAAAAATGTATTCTGGTGGGGTGTTTGTACTCAATCAATCATATCTTAACAAAGATAAAAGATTTTTAAAATATCATTATACTGTACATGTCGATATACTAAAGATAAAAAATAATGTAACATTAACAAAAATAACGAAAATAATTACGGTATACAAAAAAAGAGCATAATAGAAATTAAGATGTAACAAAATAAACAATGTCAAAAGAAAACAAACAAAATCATCTTAAAAATCAGTACAAAATTTAATTTAATTCAACCTCGGGTCTGTCAGGAAATGCCTACATTTGCTTGTGTGGCAATACTCCAATTTTCACCAAACAAAGTGTTGAATCAAACAACCCTCTACATACTCTAGTAGGATGACATCTTGCCTGCACTATTGATTCTGTGTGGATACTTTTACATTGTATATTTTGGATCTGTAACTCAGAATCTTAAAATGATAAAAATCTGGACAGTTTTAAACTCTCTTAAATACTTACGCCAACCCGCATTGTTAATGAGACAATCAAGCTGTCCAAATTTATCAATGGTTGATTGAATTGTCCTCTGAAAGAAAAAAAAACGAAAACAAAAAAAAAAACAAAACAATTAAATGCTACATACTGAATAGACATAGACACCATACTTTATGGGCATGATTGTTGATAAGGCTGAGGTACAGTAAGTGCAAGAGATTGCAGAATCTGGTCACAATGTGAAATTAATCTTGAATGTATATTAGCCAATTTTATATGTGTGAAACAAAAAAACATATAAAATATGTACATAGCGCCCTCAATATAATAACCACGAAATAGAGAGCCCTCTTTTCTTGCTTTTTTTTTGCTTTTTTTTATTGAAGTGGAACTGCTACGGATTACTGTTCGCAGTTGGTATGGCTTTTAAAAGAAATTTATATGGCCTGTATTCACATTTTAATGATGAATTCTCTTCATTTTTATGAATTCTAGGGTAATCAGCCAATACATTTTATCTTTTATTAAATTTTTTATGATATTACAATGTAGGCGTAAGACGCAATTAGTGGATGCTCATTCGTGAGAGTTGGCAGGTGTACACAATTAAGTGCATCTTGTGTCTTGCATGATGATTTCTAGTTGTTAGGCTTGTAGGTATTAATATACAGTATTACAAATTTCACTCAATACTTCATGGCAATGTGTATAAGCAATAATACTGTTTTATACATCATTACCTTAATGTCATCTTCCTTCTGCACATCGCATTTTATGAAGAAGCATTCACCGGGTCCAAGTTGATTAACTTCAGATTCCAACTTCTTGCCTGCTTCCTCTACAAATGTATATTAATGAAAACAATTATTATTACTACTGGGAGCAGCTAGCTCAGTCGCTAAACTGATGGTAACCACTGAGTGTAACTGAACCGTGGAGATCTCTAGGTCCCTGTTTTAATTCCCATCCGATCTGCCTCCCCTTGTGTTTCAGCTGGAGGCCTGTAATTCAAGTTTGAAAAGCGCACTGTCTTTCAGATGAGAAGCTTAAGCCATTGGTCCCGTGTGCATTTAATGGCCAACATTAATAATGCCATACTTTGAAACTTCTTGCAATCATGTTAACAAAATTTGCTTATTGCACCTAAATAGACGTTTCCTCAATCATGAGTACCGTAAACACTGAAATGCCAGTGTATTAAACTAAAACGTAAACACCACATCCCAAAGAAATAATATGCGACATTATGCTTGCAATAAACTGTTTCTTCATCAATGTTTATAATGACCTTGTTGACCTTTACAAAGTAGATTGTTCTATAAAACGCCGCCATGTGAAAAGCCAGGTATCTTTCTAATTCATTCAAAAGTATTTTCAGTCTGATATATATAGTTCACTGGTAAAACACACTACAAAAAGTTTTAGAAAGCATCTAAGCCAATTGAAATATCTCTGTATAACTTTTGTTCAACATTGTTTAGGTAATTGTTGTATTTTGGAGACACTTACCAAAATACAATGTATATGTTCAATACTGTACTACTTCCAGTTGCAATTTCATTGTTTAAAATTTCTCATTTAATCGATAATAATGGTGGATCAATGATGAAAATATCAATATTTTCTTACCTCCTCTAGCGCAGAAAGCAACTTTAGCACCATTCCGTACTGCAAACATAAAAGAAGCAACCAAAATAAGATATTTTATAGTCTTGTTTATCAATCCATGATACATTTTTCAACGGAACTAACAGACACAACTGTGCGAGTGGCATCTTCAAACAAATTATTAAAAACAGTAGGCCTAACCACAAGGAAAGATCACAAAAATAAGTATAAAACAAACATAATGTGAATAACAGCTGTACTTAAAAAACACACATCACCACAACCTATTTTTTCAATAAAAGTACAAATGTAGAAGTAGATAAAGTTAACCAAAAAAGGCTTTCAAAGTGCAGCTTAAAATAAAATAAATAGTAATGAAGCACTTTTACGTCAGAATACATTATGATGGGAACAAAAGACACAAAGAAAGGCAGACACAACATTATGAATTTATTATTACTGTATTAATTAGGCCTATATATTATTTTTATAATTATGACATAGACCTAGTAGTCCTCCTTGTTGGTAGGCCTAGCCTAATATAATAATAATAATATAATTGCCATTTCTGAACAGTTAAACTTTTTATAGAAAAAGTATGGTACTAGGCCTATGCCTATATCGAGTGAGAGACACGTCAAGCTCATAAAGTTTAAATAGTTTTACATAGGCATAGTTTCAAATAGTTTTGTTCATTAGACACACAATTTATCTTAGGCCTAGGCATCTATATTATTATAATATTACCTCTCTTTTCTCAGAAAAAAAAAATTATCCTTGGCAGTAATAAACATAAGCCTAGGCCATAGGCCTATATATTTGTAGTAGAGGCCCTAGGGCCTAAGTAGGTTCTAGCTAGACTACTAGTTAGGCCCTCCCTAGGCCTATCTGCCTCTCCAAGCAGAGTCCCGACTTTAGGTCAAGCCTACCCTAGCCTAGTCACGTCCACAAAAAGACCTGCCATATTCATCCTACATCTTGTCCCATCCCCTAAAATAGTACAGACCAAGCAAGAAGGAGCCGCGAAATAAGCACTAGCCTAGGCCTAACCGAAAACTCGAACAGTTCCCTCTCCAATTCCTTTTGATCCTCCGGTTACCAGAGCAACTTTGTTATGATAGCGCAAATTACAAGTCAGGTTGACATCCATTTTAATTTTAGTTCCGCCCGGTTTCCGAACTGCCCATTCGCATTTAGGCCTAGGCCTAACTATGTGGCTTTTTCCAGGGCCAAAACTGCAGCGGCAGCACGTGACTTCAGTCAGACGTTTGTTGTTATTTATTTACGGTATGTCACGCCCCTTTCGTGGGACACATTGACTTTTCTTTTCTAATTACGTCACGCCTGAGGGCGCATTGCCATTATGGAAAGGGAGTTTAGGGGGCGGGGAATATTGTCTACTGTATATGGTAATTAATGGATCTTTCTTTTTCATTTTTGTTGTTGTACACGAGAAGTACGAAAGCTAGCCTATATGGATATGTATAGAAAAAATAAATAAAGAAAATAAAAAGCAATTTTTATAACTAAATAAAAACAAGGCATCATGCATATGTAATTTTAAAAAATAATTTATCAATTGGCTAAAAAAAAATAGGCCTATGCTTATAGGATAATTTATTCATCAATTAAAACATTTACCGAGTTTCTCAAATGAGTCATTTTTATGGACATTGTTAATTGGCCGAAAAGCTAAATTATTCCTGTCTTATTCAATTCTTTTTCTTTTATACCACTTTCATGTATTTGCATAGTCCCTGTTAGTGTGTCATCTTTGATTTTCTAAATGTCATTAAATTTAAAATATTTTGAATGAAAATGAAATTCGTCTATGACATGTGATGTCTGGTGTTGCATTGCCTGGTTATTGGGAATATGCTGCAATGGGGATACTGTCAAAAACGGAACTTGGTACTGCAGTGTGAAAAAAAGAAACCCAACAATTGCAATTAACGTACAGTACACCATAAATGAATACTTTCACAATACATGTTTTCATAATGGCTTTAATAGTTTACGAGGTATATACTGTATGCGATATGTAGCTGCCAAACTATACCATCGGATTAAAATCCAAAAATACAACACTACACAAAATTTTAATATGAAAATAATGTATATTTCTTCACAGAAACGTTAATGTAGTCAATAAGGTGTGCAACTTTATTGCAATCAACATTGTGATGAAAGAAACAATCGACGGAATTATTAAACTATAAGTACTAGGTGTAAAAAAAAAGAGAAATCATAATATAGGACAACTAACTATAAAATAACAACAAAATACTGCATGGTGCTTTCCAAAACAAAAACTATTGTGATCACTTGCAAATCCAATGCCTTTATCCCTTATCTACGTCACAAATTTATGCAAACATATTATCTTTTTGGCATCTCCATCTGAGCATATTTTCCAGTTACATGCATAAATTAATTAACTATTATTAAAACAATAAATTGATACTGTGATATAACATTTATCCTTTCAATATTCATCTAAAACATCCAGTCATTTTGATCTAGATAAATGTTCTTGAATTATGTTACTACTTTCACAAAACAAATATAAATAATGCTACCTTTTAACAAACAGTACAGTATAGTTTTCTTATTCCAGTTAAAATCAATGACACACGATATCTATTGCACATATTAAGTAATGAACTGCTTTGATAGTTATAGGAACACATACGTCTTTTAATAACAAAGTCATTAGCTTTTATTAGTTACACCAAATAGACCTGTTACAGAACACATAGGCCTACCATTATACACAGGTTGTTAGGAACACATATACCTCCTGTAACATTATGTTACATAGAAAGCGTTTACCCAATAAATACAGAATTACAAAGTTAATGACGAGAGTATCGCATCAATGAATGCATTACTGGAAGTTAATCACATATTGACAAGCTTTCGATTAGTGAGATTTATGCAACATCATGACATGCATTACATCAAGCATTGTTACACTGTCATTCTATTGTTACCATCACCTACCAAATATTTTTGCCTAATATAGTTTGTAGATTTATTAAATTTGTAATTAACATCAATACAAATTTATACAACAACCACAGGACTCATTAATTACTACATATAAGCCAAAAATAAGTATCGCATAACTTGACATGTGCTATATTTAGATTTGTGTATTGTATTACCCAGCTAACATCATACTGAATCTTACTAACTCAATTTGAACTTGTTTCCCCATATTATTTCCACATAATAAAAGGTTAAATCATGTTATGCGTTTACCCTTGTACTTTCGTATCTTATGTTACTTGTTGTAAACCTTAGTTTCAATCTCGCGTTGCATATTTTTAATATCACATTATGTGTCTCGCATTATATGTTTACCTTACACTGTCTGAATTAACCTTCACATTACGAACCTCACATACAATGGATGAAACTAAACTCATATTTCAAGAATATCAATCTCATATTGTAACTTTTAATCTCACATTACGTATTTTAATCTCATGTTATATGTTGTTATTCACCTTAAAATCTCTACATTTTATATTTCACATTCTCTGTTTAGGTTGAACCAAAAGTTTATGAATTGCTACTGTAGTGGCAGATGAGTAACATGCAAAACCTGTTATGCTTTTAATCTCACATTATATGGCAGTTACAACTAACAGAGGAATTATTCGCATGATTCAACTCAACTATCACATCACAACCAAAAATATTCCTAAATTACTCAACATTAGGAGAGGTGGACGGAATATATAAAGCCAATCAATGCACTACAAAACAAAATAAATATTACAAAACATTGCATAAAAAAAGTGTTTGGTTTGTTGAAATCAAGATACATGTGGGCACAGAAATATACAATATATATCTATTATATTTATCTCAATTCAATATACATATATATCTATTTATATTATACACAGAATATATCGCTTATGTTTGCACAGACATAGTCAATACATAGCACATACACTGATATTTTATAGGCTTAAAACAATGAAAATAGTGTACGTGTCTATGTCAACTCTGGCCAAGTACAATCAAAGAAAGTCGATCTGCCTACAGTAGGTCATATTTCTCCTCTGGAGTGAAGCTTCTTTTAAGGTGGTACCAATTAATTGCTAATAATAATTTAACACTTACAAAATCGTGTATTTAGTTAAATTACCAAGTATGTTGAAGATTATTATTTAATTATACATGGCAGAAGCAAGCAGCCATCTTATCTAAATTTCAAATCACGAATACTTGATGCAGAATGTTAAAGTACATTCATAGGTGGAGTGTTCAGGACAAGTATTAGTTAAGCAGAAATAAAGTACAGTAATTGGAATGCCTCTGTAAGAGTAAGATAACCAACTTTGTAAGTCAGAATTTTAAAAAATCTTTTTGAATAGGTTATTCTCCTATTCAACAGCATCAATAGACACCGTTGGCGACAAGAGTCTTTTAACCTCAAGTACTCTATCATTTAAAAAGCCATAGAGAGCGTTTCACAGTATAGACCATGGATGTCTCATCGGGAAATCTCTAGTGCTACAACTGGTGCATGATGCAGTATAATTTACATTTTGACTGACGTTCAAAAATTGCTGTTTTGTAGAATTATACAAATGAATATAAAAAGTGCTAAAAGATATTAAACAATAATATGATAGCCAGCAAACTAAAGTCCAACTAAAAAGTTTCAAAATCTTATATATAATCAGGTTGTAGGAAAAATACAGAGGCCTACCCTGAAGATGTGAACTAGAATACATACTGTATATACTCGCGTATAAAATGAGGCTTAAAATAATTATCTTATGTGCGGATCGTCCTTAACACGCAAATTTACTACTAAATAATAGTATGAATGAGCGCAATTTTAAATACCGAAAAATAAGATTTTGATGAACATTTAAAAACTCATAAAATGGTATCATTTGGAAGATTACCACTGCATTTGGCTCAGTTTTTAGCCAGCTTGATGCAGTATCAAGACCGTAAATACCAGCAAAAGGTAGGAATTCTGAAGGTGAAAGGGGAGAGGTCATCTCATATGCCTGACATACAAATATTGTCTAAAAATCTTCTCAAAGTCAGGGGTCATCTTATACGTAGATCGCCTTATACACAAGCATATACAGTACTCAATACCAGCTGTGAGTACATCGTTCCAGATTGTGTATGAAAAATTAATTAATAATTATTAACTTTTCACACAATCAGAGTGGTTCAAGAGAATTTGGAGACTTTTTCTTCTTCTTCCCTTTGGAAAGAGGTAACGCCTCCAGGCGCATTGGACGGCGCATCAGTGGGTCTGATGGACCGTTGATCTGGGCATGAGGTGTTGCTGATGGTCTTGAAGATCTGCTAAGCAACTGACTCCCTATTGGTACTGGATCTGGGAAAGGAAACACATTTCTCAGGTGGATTGTGCCATATAAATTAACTATTAAATTTATTATAATAATCATATATCATGTCATTTTGATTTTAGTAATACTCTAACCATCATAAAAAATATTAACAATATAAATAATAAAAATAGTAGTGAAATAATGGCTAGATGAGCTGGAGTTCAACAGGTAACCAGGTTTTTCTTTTTAAAGCAGGATTAGTTTTTTTTATAAAATATGAATAACCATTAAAAAATTTATAATTAATAATAAATGTGAACTTTAATTTTTAAATGCTATATTTATTATTATTTAAATGATAAGGATGATATATTGATGATTACTCTACTGATGTTCCAAGACTAATCAGGATTATTATTAACAAATAATAAAAATAAATAATATAATAATTATGATAATAAAATCGCTGCTTCATTTAAAAGTGTGTCTTACCATTGGGCACAGAGGCTGTGTTACCTAGGAGATGATTGGCTCGTTTTGGCTTGAAATAATCAAGTGCTGCATCGTGACTCGCTTGATTTAGTTTCTATGGAAACAGACAACATGCAGAGTCGGTTCATGCATGATTCAACAGAAATTCATAATGAAATGGCCATCAAGTTATTAAAAACATAATTAATGATTGTGAGACAAATTATCATCTTAATAAAGAAAAATAAAAAATGTATTATACTACAAAGCAATATTAAACAGCAAAACTGAGGAATAATTAAGGATCAAGAATATATAATAAAATTCAAGAATAACAAATGTTAACCAAATCGTAAACAATGATAACAAGTTAACAAACAGTTAAAAAATAATGTTAAACTAAAACAAATCAACATGCTATAAAAATTAATTTAGTAACATGCATCATTTGTGACCAACAGAAGAACAAATAAACCAGTTTTTTCTGAAGTGATAATAAAAGATTCATGCTTCTGAGAATACACTGTATGTGGGAACTACTTCAGTCATCCAGGAAGAGGAAACAGCTTGAATATTTGTAAGGCTATTCTAGAGTGCAGAGTTATTGAGTAAAATTCAGTGACAAAAACAATATCAAACTATAGGCCAGGGTGTAACAGTTGAATTGTGATTCAAGATCATGCAAAAGAGGGGGAGGATTTAAAGCAGTCTTAAAGTGGCCCTCCTTGCAAGTAACCCAAACACTTGTGAGAAACTAATGCTTAATACCTGCAATTGTAAATCAATATCAACAAGATATTGATGTATGATGTACAATGCATATGCGATAACAAGATGCACAAGACAAATATATGAAACAATATGCAGGTTAGCTGTTACCTACCTTCTAAGAGGTGATAGTACAGTGTGTGTAATTTATGGTTGAATGATGGTATATCATAATACTCTATATTATATAGAAGCATAGCTTTCCATCAGTGAGCTCAGTAACTATACTTACTTGTCTAAAGCGGTCTTCGTTTTCGTCATCATAGTGATTATGTGGTCCGTTTGTGGCCTCGACTGGGTGGTACTTGCCTGGAGACCGATCACGGCCGTTAACCATTCCACCACGAGCCATAGGCTGGCGCCCACCAGGCATGATACCTAGCAAAACAAATTAAAATTTAACATAGAATTATTGTTGTGCTCCTAAGCTAAAATACTAATTAGTCATGATCAATACAGGATGCTGCAAAGGCCAAAGGTGCAGCGGTCACGTGCCAGTGGTATTCTTGTCATAATCTGGCCTGAAATAAATTTTTGCTCATATTTACAGTATGCTTATGAAGGGAAATTTAAAAAAATTAACAATGGAAGCTTGCTCTACATTATGATCTGCAATCCACTCTTTCTTTTCAGAGATTTTATTGCACTAAGGTTTCTATTTTTTTTTTTATTCATATCTTATATTTATTACCTGCTGTTGGCAGTTTATCTTTAGTGATTGTTAATTCTGGAATTTTCCATTGGCCACTTTCTTCGTCCCAAGTAGAGCCTGCCTTAACCTTATCCATATTGTAATAATTGCAGTCTCGGCGTAGACACGGGTGAACTTTGTCTAAGATCTGCTGTAACAACTTTACTTGCTTCTCTTGCTTTCGAATCGTGTCTAAATAATCGATGCGCTCAAATTCAAATTCACTGTTCAGGTCACTGATTTCGCACTCAGCGGCACGTATCTGCAGGTTAGGAATAATTTATATAAATAATTTAAATTTCAATTTGTTCATAACATATCAGAATAAAGATAATGATTATCTATCAAAGAAATTCAATCCTCAAAGTCTAAGTTCTATATATCATCCATACTTTAGTTTAAGCACAAATTAATCCTACAAAAATAAGTATCTTGACATCTGACTACCCTAATACATGACTATTTTATAGGAATCTATATAAAAAAAAATTTTAAAAAATTAAAATAATAATTGTATATTATTTAAAAATATTTTTCAATCATGACATTTTGATATTTCATTATATGTAGGTCTACTGATGTCATACTAGTATTGTGTGATTTTCAAGATTTGTTTTATACATATTTAAATTATTTTACAATTGATATCTTAACAATAGTTATAAATATATTATTTACAATATATTGACAATTAGTAATTTAATAATAATTATAGTATTAAATATAATACAATGAAAGTAATTGTAATTATAATTGCCATATTAACAGTATTTGTTATACTTTAAGAATAGCAATATAATAAGTAATATAGTAATTATAATAGTAATAATAAAAATTATAATATTTACTGCTAATAGTGATAATAATAACAGTATTTGTCATAATACTTAGTAATAAGAATAACAACAATATATATAATAAATATAGTAATGACAATAGCATTATTAATAACAATGATGATAATAATAATAAAGGTTATAATAATATTAATATGTAATACAGTAATTATAATTAATATAGTCATTATAATAGTAATAATAAAAATTATAATAGTTACTGGTAATAGTAATAATAACAGTATTTGTCATAATACTTAGTAATAAGAATAACAACAATATAATAATATAGTAATGACAATAGCATAATAATAACAATGATCATAATAATGGTGGTGATAATAATATTAACTACTATTAATATCAAAATTCAGAGGATTCACCTTTTCTTTCATGCCCTCTAGCTGTTCATTCTTAGCTCTCAGTTGGTCTTCAATGTTGCTATATATATTTAGCATAATGCCATCATCATCCATCTTAGCAATAGCCTTAGCAAGCTGCAGTTTGCGTACTTCAGCATGTTTCAACTTCTTTCTACGTTTCTGCTTTAGATTTTCATCATTTGCACGCTCTCCTCCAACCATAGACCGCTCTAGCATTTGAATCCTGTCAACAAGCAAGTTTATATTAACAAACAATAATAATTTTCAGGGAGCAAAAACAATTATATATACTTTTTACATTAGTAGATTCTAAAATCTTTGAAATCCCCAAATTTTCATTTTTGAAGATGAATGCCATCTCGAATGACAGGTGTTCAAAACATTATGGAGCAGCCATATATGCTAGCATTTTAAGACGAACTGTTCGTGCAATCAGTTCTAGTCGCTAGCTAAAGTGCGACCTCTACCGTTGGTACTCATCACCTCTCGTTTCCTAGCGACCAGAACTGATTTTACTGACAGCACATGGAACCTTGCAAGTATAATATAATTTTAGTTTGAAGAATTTTATACATATTAATACACATCTAAACCAGATAACACTGAGATTGCTATGGTTGTCAAGTTCACCTTTTCATAGCCTCTTCTTGGTCCAAGACTGGTATAATTGGGGCTTCTGTGGCCTTGGGTGAGGATGCTGGTGCTGAAGGGCCTTCATCAAAGTCTGAGGTTTGAATGTGTATTGCACCATTACTTGGTTCCTGGGGTATTTTTATCTGGTAAGTCAAGCAAATGTCAAAATAAAATATTGAGAGAAGCTGCAATTTCTAATTTTGAAAGAATTTATTAAAACTTCCTCTACATCCAACGACCATTAACATTCCAAAGGATGGAAGTAAATGCTGTGATATTTTCTTTAGGAAAATTGTGAATAGACATTAATTGGAGTCACATGTTACCAACGTTGAGACTACGAGACGAGAATTTCATTACAGAATGTCGATTGATTATTAACACTTACTGCACTGGACGCCTTGGCTGCAGCTGTTACTGACACCTGTTGTATATCAGATGAAGCCACCTGGGATGTGATTCCCGGGTGTGCCACTCCACCTGCACTTACAGCTACCTGCTGTGAATGAACATCTTGAGTTTCAGATGATGTCGGAGCAACATGTACATCTGCTGCAACAACTGCAGAACAAATGAATGCATTTGGTTGATAAAAAGTTTATTATTATTACTAAATTACTATGGTTATCATGACTGTTTATAGAGCATGATTATTATTTGAGGTATATTTATTCAATACTCATAAAATACATACATAGCAGCAAAAAGGCTGAATTGCGTATGGATTTACAGAGGTTAAATATTAAAACAGCAGAAAAATTACACAAAGAAAATACAAAAATTGACAAAATTGAAGGAATATTGAGAAATCATAAAAAAGCAAAACATATACCAAAATGTGAGAAAACAAGGAGCATTGTAATTAATAAGGTAATAAAAAAAACTGGGACAATAAAGGGGAAGGGGGGGGGGCAAGAACACTCAGACAGAAGTAAGGGACAATTGTAAGTTGTACTACCTGGCTGGGATCTTGGCTGATCAACTTGAGCCAACTTTTCCTCATAGAATTGCTTCAGTTGATCAATATCAACCTGTAGCTTTGCTTTACTTGACTGTTCTTCTTCATACTGCTTTTTCATGTCTTGAATCCTATCCTCATATTCCTACAGGTAAAAGCAGACCAAAATACAGTAAACATGAAATAGTAGAAATGTCAACATATTACTTTGCCCACTAGATTCCAAGATTGTATCATCTAATCTAATGTAATCTTAACTGGTCATTTATATAGTGCCTTTTTTTACAGCTGTAAGTTTTTCCCTGGCCATTGAGTCCACATGCTTAAGTGTAACTGCCATCTTGGAGCAGCAGCAGGCAACCCCACCAGGTACCCATTTATACTCCTGGGTGGAGAGAAGCAATGTAGATAAAGTGCCTTGCTCAAGGACACAAGCGAAAAACACATTGAGGGATTGAAACCCCGACCTTGAGGTTAGGAAACCAAACCATTCCCACTGCGCCAAACCGCCCTCACTACCTGTACATATAACAATGATTAACTTACTTGTCTTATTCGTTCTCTCTCAGATTCAAGAGCAGCCTCATCAACAACAGCTGGTGGTACTGCTTGTGGAGCAGCTGGTGCAGCTGCGGTTCCTGCAGTAACAGGAATCTTGCCAGACAACATCTCCTTAAGTTTCTTAATCTCCTCCTGGTATTCACGTAACAAGGCATCCTTCGGGTCTTCGTTGATCTTCGGCTTATTCTTGATGTTCTTTGCACGGTTAGCGTAACGGAGCGTGCTCAAGGTTTCATCGTAGTTGTTGTCCGCCGGAGAGAGACAGGCAACCATTAAAGTTTTTGTATTGCCACCTGCCGACAAAAAAAAAAAGAAAAGACTTTATAATGGTGGGTGAACCATTGTGTACAAGGGTGATGAAGAATGGCTTGATGGTTATGCCTGTCTGCCAATTCAAGGTACAGGTTGAATACTGGAAAAACTCTTAGAAAGTGTCTCAAAACCAAAATGACTTCATGTACTTTACAAACCCCCTACACTTACAGTATTTATAGAACATTGATTTTTCCAAAGTGATCAGCTTTACTGGGTGGACCAGCTTCTAACAAATAATGGTGGGATAAAACTAACCTTGCCTGCCTTATTACTTGCAAAAAAAACTCAACTTGTACATCTATTGTAAGAGTAGCAGGTTATATTTGTTGGAATTGATTAATTCGCATCACCAATATTTATGTTCATATGCAAAGGCATTGAGAGAAAAAGTTATCCATCATTTGTTTTGCAGGAATTATAAAGTGAATATTATTGGTAATTTATCTTATTTTCAAAACAGCTTACCAAGTGAATCCTGGAGTAATCTGGTGAGTTTTGAGTCTCTGTATGGGATGTGTTTGGACTTCCCGTCCACTAGTGCCGAGATCACATTACCCAAAGCAGACAAGGAGAGGTTAATCTTGGTTGCCTCCTTGAGCCTTTCACCAGTCGCACCTGCAAACAACAAATTCATCATCTTTTTTGAAGTTTGTATTATCATTGGTGTAATCAAAGGATTTACAGTCCTAGCATCGCAGCTCCTTGAAGATTGTTACTTAATTGTGCTGTCAACAGAACTGATCTGAACCAAAAATTGAAATGAATTGAGGTCCAGTATAGAAATCTGGCTCATGCTCTTTGAAGAACCCATTGCATCTTTGGAAAGGGGATGGGGCTACCCCAGCATTATAGTTCATTTTAGCCCCTGTTGTTGTAGAATGATGCTAGTAAGCGCCTCTCAACGGCTACAGTAGTCGAGGACCACACCCACATGCAATTCAGCACAATGGCGCTGCGAGTTGTGGGTTATTCTCCCACCTTTACCTAACATCATAAGAGAAACATCAAAAGTTTAAAATTTTATTAAATCACACTTATTAAAATTCTACAATACCAACAATATTTTTAGTACAGACACTTTATAGATATCAAACAACAGCTGCAAAGCACTCTATGCTATTAAATCCTATTTTCCAGTAAAGAATACAATGCTCCCTACCATGCTGGATTAAAGTACTCTCCAAACCGCCAAATTTATTTGACCAAAAACTGTAGTATGCCCATATATAAAGTCATGATGTGCCTATATATGGTCATGATGTGATGTCATCATGACCATATTTAGGCATGTCACATGTTTTTGTCAAATAACATATTATAGTGTGGACACGGCTAAACAAGTCCTACCTGTTTTTCCTTGTCGTTCACTTCCAGCCAAATCAACGAGGTTCAGTTTGCCGGCACGCAGATGGTCCTCCCCACCGTCGTCTGTTTCGCACATCTCAACATGAATGGTGAAGATGGAGTGCGACCTTGATGAGTCCGCATTCATCAGAGTGGCTCCGGTAGATCGATTCTTCCATCCCATCTCCATCACCTTCTCACACGCCCTCACATTTTGAACAGTGTGCATTGATAAATCTTAGGAAAAAAAAACAAAGATAATCCAAAGTTATAATTATATAATAAATAAATATATGTAAATATAATTATTATGTTTGTTGTTGAAGTCAAATCTCTACTTCACAAAACAAATCATCGGCATTTGCATCATCCTAAGTATGCTTGAAAAAACAACTCGTCAAAAAGCACCATAATCAAATAAATTGTTCAATTTACCTTTAACATAGACTCCCTTATCTGGATGTTCTTTTAAGTCCAGTTTAAGCTTAGAGTCCTTTCCTAGGAGGTCTCGGATCTCCTCATTATAAATTTCTAGATATGAGGCCCTTACTAAGTACTTGACGTTTTCAGTGACTTGGATGTTCTCAAAGATGTGCTCGAAGGCTCTGGGGATGATTCCACGCTGAGTTGGTGGGTCTGTGATGCCTTGCATGCTGAAGGATTTGCCACATCCTGTCTGACCATATGCAAAGATGGTTCCATTGTAGCCTTCTAAAACACCCTGCAGAGAAATAGGTAAAAAACTTAACATACCGATCTGTGGGAGGCATTAATGAGTAATGGTGCTTCCAGTCCAGGGTTTCAGTTTTTGAGTTCAGGCCTGGGGAATTTGGAGACCATCAGACAGCCCCTGTGGTGGACGACGAGAATTGCTGATACAGGGTTACCGGGTAGCACAGACACGAAGGGACCCTTAGGGGAGAAGAAAGTCATTGATCGAGTTCCTAGTCCACATTTCAAGCGCCCTGAGCATCTTACATTAGATGGATTTGTGCGCTATATAAAACTACACTATTACTATTATTATTATTATTTGGTATCTCGACTCTTGAAAGGGGTCTTAGTACTTTTTGTTTTAGTAGTATAACTGGACACTCTGTAAACCCAGCCAATATTGTATGAAATAAGTACATATATATGAGAAAAAGAGTGTAAGTTACCTTTCAGAGTTATGGTTTAGTTTCATATAATGGTATATACTGAAAGATTTTAGGAAGGTTTTGTCAGGAAGGGATCAATGTAATATTGTAATATTCAAAATGCGCGGCAATTTCAAAACAATGGTTTTGCTTCAAAATATGAATGCGGTATTTGTGCAATACAGGTTCACTATATTTTAACAAAACCATCAAAGGCGAGACTCTGCGCACATATTGTTTATAAATTTATTTGTTTTCTTGTTTTACAATTGACTTACATCAACCAAAGGATAAGCTATATCAGCATATATCTGTTCAGTCGTTGATTCTGTAAAATATGCTCCATCGAATGTGAAACTTTTGGGAGGGTCATTGCCACCTGGCTTAAGCAGTTCACAATAGCCTCTCTTACCATCCATCACTACAACTGTTTTGCACTTAAGCCCAATTTCACGGGCGTTTAATGGCCGACATCTTACAATTACTTTCACTGCTTCCGCCATGACCGGAGTTCAGTCTGCAACGAAAATCAGAAAACATATAAAATAAAATATGTAGGCCAGGTAAATGTCAACTGCTTTATACCATATCAAATACCCAACTATTAAAGAATATTAAATATAAATATTTCTAGGCCTCTTAGCCTAGCTTCTAGGTCCAGGGTCTAAAGCCTAGGCCCTACTCTCACAGTGTAGATGGAAGGAGTTATACTTGATACCATAACCCTTCTACAGATTCAAACTGAAGCTATACTAGGATGGCATACATGACAACACTCCCATTTTGGCCAGGATACTCCCATTTTGGTGACCAATTTTTTTTTAATGTTTTTTCACATGCTCTCCCAGTTTTCAAAGAAAACTGCATAGACCTACTGATATATTAATTTGTATTGTTTTGCAATAAAATACTACAAAAAACTTCAATATTTATCAATATTCAATATTTTGTCTAAAATCGTTGTTTAAATGAAAGGAACCTGGTTGGGGCCTGAGTTCCATTACATAATCAACGGTTGGATGTGACAATGAATGCGCAAGAGCGCATGCGACTACTAGATTCTACTAAGTGCCTGGTCGGCTGGGTTGTTTTGTTTCTCAGTGAATTGATTCTCGAATGAGATAACGAAAGCTCTCTAATGACTCAAGCTACTGCATGACCGTTTTTTATATTACTAATTTCTTCTAGTTTTAAATACACCCTGAATTTGTTATAAATCGTTATCACGCATAGACTTGTGCTAAATGCATGACAAATTTATGATCATGCATGCGTTTCTGCAAAATGTGTTTTTTATCCAAAATCACTTTGAAATGCGGGACAGTCCAGACCCCACCTCCCTACAGGCCAAGACCTTCGGTGGTGCTTCGCGCCAAATTCTCATGATTTTTACTATCAAACAATGTTGGCATGTATGGGATGGGACCCAACTAGGCTATATGCGTCAGTGTGTGCCACCAATTTGCAAGTATTATAGGTGTTAATAATTATAAAAGATTTATTTATTAAAAGTATATCTGACTGGTAAATGATTTTGAAATTGCCGAAAAGGTATATAATTTGGAGGGTGTAGGAACAAAAAACAGACAGGTGGAAACAAGAACAAAAGGAAAAATTAAAGAGACCAACAATGACAAAGGCAAAGTCTTGTGTGCACTAGCCTATCCTACCTAGGCCTGGTACGTTATATTACAAGTTATGCCTTGCCTAGCCTACAAAAAGTGGGAGCAGGTCAAAACAGCAAAAAACCAAAACGGCAATGACCAAATGGCAATAAACCAAAACGGCAATGATGAGTACCAAAACGGCAACAGACCAAAACGGCAATGACAACTACCAAAACGGCAATAGGCATAGACCAAAACGGCAAAGAAGCAAAAATCAATGCCAAGAATGAAGCGTTTAGTTCAGTTTATAATTTTCTGAATCGTGATTTGTTTTTTCTTTTAATGTTTTTTTTTTTTACACATCTATGACTAGGCCTATATCATTTTAAAGTGTTATTTATTATTATTATTTTTTTTTCTTTCCTGTTTTTTACTTTCATGGCATAATATTGTTTAGCCTCATTTTATCTGTATTTTAAGGTTAATTATTTAAATGTTCACTGCTTTTATATTTTATATATTACATTGTGTTCCCCAATATTTTTACTATTGAATTGCATTGTTTGTTGTTGTTGTTATTATTGTTATTATTATTATTATTAATATTATTATTATTATTATTAATGTTGTTGTTCTTTAAAGTGTTATTTATTATTATTTTTTCTTTCACGCATTTTTATTTTATGACATAAATTGTTTAGCTATTGAATTTGTATGTTATACTATTATTATTATTATCATTATTACCATTATTATCATTATTTATCATTAATGTTGTTCTTTATAGTGTTTTTTTTCTTTCGCGCTTTTTTAGTTTTGACATAAAGTTCTGCCCTTTTGGTTTATTGCCGTTTTGACTTAGGCTTATTGCCCTTTTGGTCTTGCCATTTTAACTTATTGACGTTTTGACTTATTGCCATTTTGACTTATTGCCGTTTTGACTTTTTGCCGTTCTGGTTGAAAAGTGTTGCCGTTTTGGTTTTTGCCGTTTTGACTTATTGCCGTTTTGGTTTTTTGCCGTTCTGTCCAGAAACCCAAAAACCTGCTAGCCTACTAGTCTATAATATGTAGCCTATAGGCTATGCCTAGCCTAGTACTAGGCTAGTAGTAGGCCTAGTACTACTACTAGTAGTAGAGTAGAGTAGGCGTACTACTACAATACAAGGCTCTAGGGTAGGCCTATCTAGGCCTAGCCTATCTATGCCTACTAAAGGCTACGTTAGTCTATGCCTAGGGCCTAGCTACGGAGTTTTGTTGTTAAAAGGTAAGGGCCTAGCTAGGCACAGACATGGCCCTACTAGCCTCAGGCTCTAGGCCTAGCTAGAGGCCTACTACTAGGCTATACTAAAACTAGTGGCTAGGGCGGTCTAGCCTAGCATGGGCCTAGCTAGGCCTAGTAGGCCTACAGGCTGGTTAGTATAATTACCTGGATACCTTTATTTTGTATTAAAATATTCTTGAACTACAGGATATGGTCACGTTATCTACAATATATGACACATCACAACCGGCAGTATACCACAATAACAGGATATGAAGTCATCCGTAAAATAATACAAACAAGACGATTATGATTTGTATCGTATGGTATGTACGTACGACCCTCCTTCGCGTAACCAATAACACTTTTTTTCTTTTTTACACAGCTGCTCAATAACATGTTTCATTACATATCCATAAATTATTTATAGTAGTAAATTTGAATAAGTAAAATTATTAAAATATTATTTAATAAAATAAATATACGTCTACTATATTTTATATATATAGTAAATCTCAATAATTCAAAAATACCTATTATTTATAAAAGTAATACTTGTACAGTATTAGGTTCCCATGCTATGAAGCGCCGATAAGGTCGAAGTGGTCGTCGTTCATTTCTACTGTATATACACACTCAACTTTGACTCCAAAATCCAAGCATTATCATCGATATTTTATAAATGATTTTTTTAATTTATAAAAAGATAGATAAATAAATAATAAACAAAACAAATCTTTGTTTGTTTTTTTTATTTAAATGTGAATTTATTTCATTTTTTTTTTCCTTTTTGATTGTTGAGACCATGCCACACAGAATACGGAGCTAACGAATGCCCTTGCTAAATAACTGTATAAACCAGCTTCCGACTACCGTTTGTCTGATTTAACTTGGTGCTAATAAATAGAAAAATGTTAGTAATAGTTGTGTCAAACATTCTTAAACCTAACATTATGGTGATTTATTTTGTTTTCACAAGTGTCAACTTATCAAATCATGAAATGAAACATACTAGAATTTAAACCATCTCGGTTAGTTATAAAGAAAACAAGGCACTACAAGTAAACTGCTTGTGGTGAGCTCAGTTAAAAACTGTGCTTACAATTAAAATTATGAAGTAAAAGAAACTTACATTTTTACATAAATTAAACTCGACAACGGGACCGCATAATGTGGAGAATTCTAACCAAACGAGCACGGAAAGTGACCACTGGAGGGTAAAAATGCTGTCCTGTGCAAAAACATGAGAGAGAAGAAAACTAGGCGAAGGGGAAGAAAAAAGAAAAAAAATAGAAACTGAAACAATCTTTTCAACTAACAATGTCGATAAACCTGAAAACCTGAAAAATATTGAAAAAAGTTATACGTTATCGTCCACAATTGAGACATTGTAATTCTCCACGAATTATTGCAGAGAACTTTAGTCGTCGTATGGTCGGCACAAAAGACCTCCAAATAACTTCATTGTACACTGAACAACCGACAACAGACAACCATACCTGAACGTAACAAGTGCTCATTAAAATAATTATCTTGCTGAGATGCTACTTGTGACGAACGAATATTTTTTTACCTCTTTTCTCGAATCAATGTACGATCGAGTAGGTCTCTGTTTTATTATTATTTTTCATCTCTGGGAAAATAAAAAATTGTGAACACATAGAAGGCCTTTCAATAATATTGACAATTAGTAGGCCTACAAACTATCGTAGAAAGCGTGAGGAATATTTGATTAAAATACTTTTTCAAAGAAAGTTAGATTTCTGCTCTTCAATGAAGCAATTACATTTTTGTATAACCTTTGTTCAAATACAGTATTTTATTCACCCGCGTAGTGTTATATCCTGCAGGCATTATTTTTGCACACAACGATTTGTCTAATCGGTTTATTAATCTTCCACCGAGACTATAAAATGTTCACATAATTCTTACTATCAATATTTCACTGATTTTTGAGTTATTTTAACTCCAAAAATGGGAATACCCTGTACCCGAACAAGAGGTACAGGAAAAATAGGCCTAATTCATGGCAAAGCATGCCAAAGAGAATATTATTTTGTACCAATTCCACTTTCAGATGCAAAAAAAAACTCTAGAGAGGTATTCGTTACGTTTCATAATTATTCTGAAACAGCCGACTGTCGTCATATGACATTTTTGTCTTAATTGTCTTAAAACTACGTATTTTTTTGTATTATATTGTAATCTAATAGAAGCCAATGCTCGTTATGCCTGGTTATATGACACGCCAATTGTGCATTGAGATCATGACTTATTCAGAATTATTAATTTTATGCTTTTTAGGTTGCATTGCTTTGTCTCATGCGAAAGACGGTTCGCTGTCTCGTAACTTGCATTTTAGCCCTCCAACTAAAACACAAGGAGAGGCAGCGGTGGGAATTGAACTGGGGACTTAGAGAGGTTCGTTATCTTATAACTCACCGAAACAATCCACCTATTTTATGATTGTTTTGTTTGCCTAAGAATTTATTAAAACGTATCAGTTGCTGGGCAAATGAGGGGTGAGGGGTAGATGGTTCGGCTGCCCTTCTCCCACCCTAATTTTTTTTTCATAAAACAAATGCAGAAAAAAAGAAAACTATATTCAAATTTAAATCTGAGAATGCCATTTCCGGCCATCAAGGGTACCATCATAAATTATCTTACCTCATCTTTAACCATGGTGAGGCTGAGGTGATCTGGACTCTCTATCTGTGAACTATTTGCCACTCATCATTCAGTACTCCAGTGACAGCTTAAAGGGCATTCGTTATAGAGACACTGTGGCGGATCCCCTCCCCCCCCCCCCATGGTGGGGCTGAAGTAAGAAAATATATAATATATGGCACCTTTAGATGGCCGGAAGGCACTCTTAGATCCAAAATTTGAGAATTTACTTTTTTTCTCATTTTTTTTTATTTCGAAAAATTTAGGATGGGGGTCGTAGACCGGTTCCCCAACCACCACCACACCCCACCCCACCATTGAGACAATACGGTTATCGGAGTCCGGCCATAAACCGTTTTAAGTGGAAGGTTTAAGTAATACACCATAACTGAGGATAACATGTAATGTAGAGATTAATACCACATGATGTGCGATTAACCCGCAATATGAGATTGCTAACATCTACTGTAAAGGTCAATACACATAATGTGAGATCATGGAGGTATAAAAATATTTTTTTTAATTTATTTTTATACTTCCATGGTGAGATTAACTCGCATAAAATGAGATTACGTAAATGTCAATACACATAATGTGAGACATTTGTGTATTGACATAATATAATATATTGGCATAATATAAGATTACTGTACTAACAATTAATGTAAAGGTTAATACATAGATGAAACATGTAACGTACAGTACTGTATGATGAGAGTGTGCACGTGTAATGGAAAATACAAACAAAAAGTTTAGCACAAACATGAGATTTAAACGTGTAAAAAGTATAATAAAGGGAATACTATTTTTTAAACTTATTTCTTTATTCTGAATACAAATATAATATTCATAGATAAAAAAAAAACACAACAAACTTTATTCCGTTGTGGTCCAAAATATTTAATACAGAATAAACAATCAAACGAGAACAACCAAACAATGAATCAAACTTTAATACAATACAATGAATTCAGACTAAACCAATATAACTTAATTCGAATTGGTTAGTTAATTAAGATTCAGTATATTGATTGCAAAATATGCCTAATACAACAGGCAAATCTAAATACAAATATAATAATACTCGCGTATAAGGCGACCCGCGTATAAGACGACTCCCAGGAGTGTTAGTTTTAGTTTTTTTAGTTTGGAAAACAACTTAACTTAACTACAAAAATCATTACGGAACTAAAGGTTGGGTAAGTAAAGCCTAATAACAACGTTCCATCAAACAAATTCATTAAAAATTATAATAAAGATAAAAGTGATAATAAAAAAAAAGCGTGAGAAGAGTTTTTAGACGATGTTTGTATGTCTGCCGTAAAATACGACAACACCCCTCACCCCTGTTTCATTCTCCGAATTCCTACTTTTTTTTTTCTGCTTGTTTTATGGTCTTCATACTGCATTTAGCAAGCTTAAATACGGCGCCGAATGCAAGAGGTTAATCTTCCAAAATAATAATAATAAATAAAAATATTCATCAATATCTATTTCCCTTTATTTAAAATTGCCTTTATTCATATTAACATTTAGTAGTAGCTTCATTGCAGTAGTCAATTTGCGTGTTACGGATAATCCGCACATAATACGAACATCATTTAATAAATCTAAAATTAGCCGTGCGTAGACGAACCCCTCTTTTTCGATCGTAATTGGCTATTTCAAGCCTCGTCTTTATCCATTGCAGTATACGGTATAGAGGGTGTTGTGTGATACATTATATTACTGTATTGTTGGGTTATAATAGGTCCATGGTTATATGGTTAGTTACTAATTGTTGTGGGTGTATGGCTTATTGCAATGCTAATAAATCTACAGACTATCATACAAAATATTAATAATGTAACCTTAAGGAGTACAACGTGATTATGCTTGATCAATACTGTCTGCGATAAGAAAATGATGTTTCTATTGTGTGTCCCTAGCTAATGTAGCATGAATCCCACCAAAGTTCTATGCTTATTAAGATCTTACCGCTGGTACAATCATTGAAGTAGGCCTACACTGTATTGTAATTAAATTGTATTTACTTTCATTGTTAAATATTTACCATTATAATTGTTAGTATTTTACTCATGAACCTAATAACTAAAAATAGCGTGATAGCATATCGAATAACCATAACGTGCTTGATAGAATTGGACTAATATGTTCATTGATGCGCTCGCCATTAATTATTAATCCAAGCGTTTGATAACAATGTTATGTTAACAATAGGCATGTGTTCCTAAAAACCTGTGAGTTGTATATAATGAAAGTAATGATATTAACAGAAGGTTGTTATAACTATGGCTAATGTTGTTAATATACCACTGTGCAGTGGCGTAACGCAGCCGGGGCTCTTTTACCTCTGAGATTGGATTTTTAGATATGCTCGTGTTTTAATCATTTTGTCATTGTATTCTAAATGTTTGAACGACAAAAAAAGTATAAAATATCAGTGGTGGATCAAATTATTTGAAATAGAGAGGGACAGGGAGAGAGTTTATACCTGTCTCTTATACACATCTAGATGTGTATAAGAGACAGGATCATGGAGGTATAAAAATATTTTTATACCTCCATGGTTTTATAGAGTCGGTTGCTGGGTTGTTTACGTTGATACCATCTTCTACATACCTGAGAAATGGTATATAGACAGTACACAGAATATATGTTATAGACAAAGCTTCCTTAACGCCTCAACATTTGTGGATATAGGCCTAGATTCATGGCATTTCAATGCATTATAGATTATTGTCAAAATAATTTGATCAAATTACATTACTGAAGAAAGAACAAATACATATTTGTTCAAATTCATATAATATTATGCAGTAGTGTCATAGGGCTATGTAGGCATATCAATTATTTTTTCATACATAACAATTTGTTTAATCGGTTCTTTATTTTCCTAACGAGACTATAAAATATTATGTAAATATTCGTACTCAAACATATTAGGCATACTGTGTGATTTAGGATTGTATAGAAATGAAATTATTCTCATTATTACTACAGTATGTAATTATTTATAATTGTAATTGCCAAAATAGGCCTATAGGCTACGCAGACCAACAAAGAATATATTTGTATACAGGCAACTGCCGCTTAAATGACTCACAGAAATTAAATTGTTTTAGAAGTGTATATTATCCATACCATCGAATACATTCTCAGAATCTAAAAAAGACAGAAAACAATAATGTTTCTTTCACATCTTCATTAAATCGGATATTTTCATTTTTATCCTTCCTAAAGCGTCGTAGTGGCCATAGTAGTAATCATATTAGTACCCCTGTTTGATCTTTACTAGCAATTTTGTATTCATTGATAAAATATGAGCAAGTATTTTGTAATTGTTATTTAACAACAAATTTGGTCGACAATTACAATCCCTAGACAAAGAAATTAAATATTTGTGTCAGAACCAGGAGCATTATTATAAAAACACAATACAATATTTTCGAGATCGAAGAAGTATTATTACGCCCCGATCTACTATCTAACTTGAGGTATACCTTTTATCATTATGTAGATAAATTCAAGTAGTTTTGTTTTTCACTTTAATATTTCTTCCTTGTCATTTGTCGTCAGTTCCGTTTAGAAACCTAATACCATTTGAATTGTTCCAATAATACTAATAATAATATTTTTCTATATAAAAATGTAATAATAGAAACTAATAATTACGAAGTTCATGGCGACATATTTGACTTGGGACACAACATGAAGCCTTACTAGCGCACTTTCACGAACTGAAAACGAGCTCGAATATTCCGATCTGTATCCAACTGCATCATGACATCGGTGTCAACTTGCTTTGCAGTTGTCCATTCGCAATAGAAATACTTGCTACCGTCAAAATTATCTTCAGGTGGAACCTCTACAATGTTGACAGCATAACAAGCCTCATGACGCTTGCACCCTAGAACACATTGAATCCGAGAGACCGATACTTGGCGAGCGATGACGTAATCAGGAGAGCAAACTTTGTTGGAGGATTCACCGATCGGAATATTTCTCATGAAAACAGTTTTTTGATCTAGCAACAAAAATCCACATACACATTTAGAGAACTTGTATAAATAATAATATTGTGTTTTTAATGTACTTTTGCTAAAATGATACCACTACATAATTCACACCAAATGAGAGATGTAACTTACCTTTATACGTGACATTTTGAAAACAGTTAGCGATCATAGATGTTGGTTGCACGTCAGTCATTGGTAGGGAAATGGCTCGCGATATAGTTGCTTCTTTCCCTTCGGTTGTCATTGTGGGCGTAGTTACGGATATTGCGGTTATTGGTTCCGCGTTTGTCGTCGTATTCGGCGTAGTTAACCATATTACAGTCGTCGGTTTTTCAGGAGAAGTTACCAATGTTGTTAGTATTACGTTGGTCGTTGAATCTGGTGTGGTAACCGATGTTGTAGCGGTTGACGGTTCCGTGTTTGTCGTCGATTCGAGTGTAGTTGCCGACATCGTAGTTGTTAGTTCAGCGTTAGTCGTTGGACCAGGGGTAGTTCCCGATATCGTAGTTGTCGGTGCGTTAGCCGTTGATGTTTCGGGCGTAGTTTCCGGTATCGTTGTTTTTAGTTTGACGTTAGTTGTTGAATCGGGTGTAGTTACCATTACCGTAGCTGTAACATTAGTGATAATTATGAAGAATATTATTTTACATAATAGTGTGTGGTGTAATCTATTAAAACGGACTTCGCTATAAGTTATTGTAACAAGAACTTCCCAACCCTCCTTGTTTTTTTCGGCACTTATATTATGCCTACATTAAACGAAATAAACATACTTGATACTTTAAAAATAGTGTCAGAAATAAAACTTTGAACTCTAGATTAAATTAATGCAAATTTACGTGAGCTTTTGGCTACTCCTGCAGCGATCGTGAATGCTTTTTATGCCGCTGCACCATCCCTATGGAACGAACTACCTAGTGAGGTTCGTCATTCTTCAGCTTTGATGGAGTTCAAAATTGCTCTCAAAACCCACCTCTTTCAATTATCTTTTTTTCTAATAGCGCTGTGAGACCATCTGAGCAAGAATGCTTAATAAATATTCAAATTATTATTATTATTATTATTATTATTATTATTATTATTATTATTATTATTATTATTATTATTATTATTATTATTACTGTTATTGTGTTTAGTATTATTATTATTTTTATTATTATTATTATTATTATTATTATTATTATTATTATTATTATTATTATTATTATTATTATTTTTAAATAGCAACCTATAGTTAGCTTACTTGTTTCGCAGATGTAGATCTTGAGAACATTACAGTCGTCCAATCTCCATTTATTGTTATTTGATCTCATGTAAACGCATTTACCTGTAGATGATGAGTGCAGGTATATTCCAGTTAACATATAACAAACATGTAGTAAATATATATATCAAAAGATGCCTAAAGTTTATGTAGAATAATAATATTTAGATAAGAACTGCCCTTTATAACCTCAAGGAAGAGGCGCATTATAAATATCCATACCAGTACCAGTACCAAATACTGTAATATATTTAAAAAGTATTTTGTGAGACGTTGTCCATCAGTGTTGTACATCATGGAGAAAGAGTGAAAAGGCGCTCACGTTTTTATTATGAAATGTATAGATTGGTAGCTACGTAAATATACATACAGCGAATAATACTATGATGGATAGTGTGGTGAAATTCTGGTCCAAAAGTTTGTGTTAATTTAAGCACTTAGAGGATAATGTGTTTCTGCTTGCCGCGTTTGGAAAGGGAAATCTGTGTTCACACGCACACAGTATACTGTCCCTACAAATGCTCAAGCAAACCTTGTAGCAACGATTCAAATATGTGTGTGAACCAACCTTATATTACTTAATATCAACATAAACATAACATGGGAACGGTTTGGTTTCCTAACCCCGAGGTCAGGGTTTCAATCCCCTCGTTGTGCATTCCACTTGTGTCCTTGGGCTTTATCTGCATAGCTCCTCCCCACCCAGGAGTATAATAATGGGTACCTGGTAGGGTTAAATGCTAAAATGTGCTGATGTAGCTGCAACGTTATGGAATACTCCCCAGGGAGTTTGTGTTCCATAGGCGTTTTATCCGATGACCGTTGGTAATAATGAGAAGCGCTTAAAGGCTTGTTGGCGTTAAATGCTATATAAGTCTAAAATACTGTATTATTATATTATAACAAATGTTATCATCAGCATTTTGTTAGGTTAATTTAACAATTATTAACACTTGTAGCATAATAGTCAATTGTGTAGTATATACTGTAAATATAAACAATTATTGTATTAACGCTAAGAAATGGAGACGGCATCTTAAGCTAAAATATTAAAGACTTACGGTGGTTGAAATTATTGCTTCCCTCATTATTGAATTGAAAATGTGTGTATATAGGTTCTGTACCATCTACCCAGGTAAAATCTGCTGAGTTTGCAACCTTAAACAAATGTTAGTCAATGTTTATTGATAATAATAATAATAATAATAATAATAATAATAATAATAATAATAATAATAATAATAATAATAATTACTATTACTATTACTAATATTATTCATCATCATCCTCATCATCATCATCATCATCATCATTATTATTATTATTATTATTATTATTATTATTATTATTATTATTCATGATCTTGGTGTTCACAACTTGATACGGTTGAATTACGTATAGATTGACGTATTACAAACTTCACTTCGTTTAAATAAAATTGCCTATATGGAATCTTTGTACACTGATGATGACACATCTGTCGAAACATGTATGTAGCGTAAGGCCTAGCAATGGCTAGGCCTTATTAAATTGTTCAGGCATTGCCTGAAATGATCGTTCTCAAAAGTATCGTCATATTTTTGAATTTTATTAGTGGTTTATTGTGTCATCGATCATTTGGTAACATTATTATTATTATTATTATTATTATTATTATTATTATTATTATTATTATTATTATTATGTTAATAATTAACAATAACAATCAAAATAATACCAATAGTTCCGAGTACGAAAAGACGAAGAGGGATACGACAGACGTGACTTAACATTGAGAGAAAACAAGATAGCCAAGGCACAGTCAAAACTACATTCTATAAGAAAATACAGAGCAAAAAAACACAGACCTTCGTGTAAGTGACATTCAGAGAGATTAGAATGACAGGAACGACATAAAAACCAACAGAATTGGACAAATAAATAAAATGATTACAGTACTAGAGAATTCAAGATGAGGTCTATCCAGCGTCCAAAATAAATTAAGATATTTAGGATTATGAACATGCCCACAGTTGTCTCATCATTTTGAGCATTCGATTGACCCTGAAGACAACATTAAAATTAAGGTTTAATTTATTAAAAATAACAAGATATTTATGGTGAGAAACCCGATCAAGAATAGAGGGACTATAGAATAAATAAATATTTAAAGGCATTTTTTAAAAAGTATTTCGCACTTAGGAATAAGAGCCATTTGGCAATCAATGACCCAATAAAAAAAAAACCTTGAAGAGGAGAGGAGAAACAATTGTGAACAGTTTAAGTTCATCGGCAAAGAAGATATAATTTTTATTTCCTGAAATTTAATCTAAGTTATATTAATGGAAATGTTGTTTCTAAACTGACCAATCGGCCATGTTTGTTTTGGTCACATGGATAACTTAACGCTGATTAACGCACTCTGGTTACGTTAAATTTCGTTGTCAACGAAGTCTATTTTACGAATCAGTCGAATGATACTCAACATAAAATCGTCAAGGAAATGAACCAGTCGAATAAGGATATTGATATGAAGTTGTAAGATGTACTTCTACTACCACTTTAAAATTCGAATAGGCCTAGGTTAGGAAGATACGGTCGGTTAGCCACCGATATAAGAGCAGCAGAAGTCTTTAAAATACATCTAGGCCTAATTCCTGTTAATTTACCACCAGATAACTTCGACATGTTTAGCAACAAAATTTCAATCTGTTCAGATGCTAAGATGTTTTGGAATGATGACACAAATTAAGATAATCATCAATGCTAACGTTAAGCAACAATTATAGCTGAAAGTACCTGTATAATGAAAATAATGTTTAAACATATCGACTTTATACAAATAATGAATACACGAAAAACGTCCCCATATGGCACAAAACAGAAGGTTCAGAACATTTAAAATACTTCAGACTATTTTGTCTCTGTTTCAACAGATTCATAAATGTTATTGAATTTATAATTTTTCGTGGAATAATGTTTAAAGTATTACCAGGTAAAATCAGGAAAGAGTAATTCACTTTTCTCTGGTAAAATTGATCCATCCGATCCATGTGGTTAACTGATCAATATACCTACCTTACTAAGCCCTATCCACATATCGCCGCTGTTACTTGGAAACGTGTCGGCTATAATAGCTTGCTCATCCTCATTGTTAATCGAAACAAGACTACAGGATACGGTATCCCAATCTGAGGCAGACGGCGACAATATATAATCAGCATTTATTCTACCTAATTCTTGAAATTAAAAAAAAATCATAAAGTGTATTTCAGTAAAATTTATTGTCATTTGTAAAAATTAATTTTACATAGCAATACAATTGCAAGGGTCCGCTCATTAATAAAGAGAAATAATAACAAGTAACAATTTCCAACGCCGGACACCATTCTAAACCTAAATCAAGGTTTCAATCAATCAATACAAAAGGCCTACAACTACCTCTGCTTCTTCTGCTGCTGCTGCTGCTGCTGCTGCTGCTGCTGCTGCTACTACTACTACGACTACTACGACTACTACGACTACTACTACTACTATACTACTACTACTACCATGGAGGCTACGGTATACCTCTATGCTACTACTATACTTTTACTGCCGCACTACTGGTGTTGCTGAAAGTACTGCTGTTTCTGATCTTCTGCTGCTAACACTATACTCGTCGGGAACTAAAGTCTCTTTCGAAGACTTATTTTGGGCTCGTCTTTATTGATATGTTTTGGCATCGCCACAGATAGAATCGCAGGACTGTCGCTTGATATTTTGACTCGATCCGTATCTACATTCTTTAAGCCGGTTTTCCACTATACTAGGCGAATTTATTCGCGCGAATCGAAAGCGTCGTTCATACGCATGAGCATTCGCATCTCTATACGAGTTTTTGCTTCAGCGAAATTGGTAGTTCGAACTGTTTCTACTTTTGCGAAGCGAAAAATGTGCGCAACTAATTGGAGCTCAGGAACCGAACCGACGCAAATAAATATATCTCGCGCAAATAAATTCGCGATGACGCAACACTAGAACGGATTCAATCATGCACGACTGTCCTACGTTCTCAGCACAACGTAGATATTTGGCCAAATTGCGTCCTAGAATCTATGCGACCGCGAGAACTCAATGTTCTTGCATACACAGAGGACTTTATGTGACGTTATTACGTTCTACGTCCATACTGTCGTCGTGCAATTACAAGATGATATAAGTTAACCAGCATATACCTACCGAATAACAAGAGTATGATCATGGTTTTTGTTGTCATATTCTCAAATTCTCTAAGATCCTGGATGAGAAACGCCACATAAGAGGTTGCAAACGAAAGGTACTGTGTTGAAAACAAATCGATTCTCCTTACTTAAACTATAAAGCATGCATATGTATATGTTATCAAGTACACACTTCATAAAAACTAGATTAGATTAAATGAAATCACTGTAATCAAAGAAAAGCAATAAGCAACTTAGGGATCGATGCAGAGATACTCATTATGTCGAGGGCTGTGCGTTTGTTCATCGAGTAATCAGCCAATTATAGGCCTAGTACAGGTTGGTTTGAAACCAGTGACCCAATAGCCTGCTGCCTATTCTTGTGTGTTTTGGCTAATTGCTGAATAGTTTACATTGGTCGAATCGAGTCACGTGTGTCAGTAACGTTTGAATGTGTTTAATAAAATTATACGATTATATAAGGACATGAGGAAACCGCAAATTACGAATGGTGGTGCGGCGGAAAAGATAATCGTCCAGAGAGCATGGCTTGTCATGACAAGAATGTTGTGAGTAGGCCTACATTATTAAATAACAGCAGAATAGCTGATGAAATTAGTGGTGAAGCTTGTTGGCCATCGGTCAATTGAGAATAGCAGAACAGCATGATCATTGCAGGTTTTTTTTGAAAACTTTGATAAGAATGTGTTAAATGTGCAAGTTGTCGGAAAAGGAGTAGGACTAGGCTATAGACAAATGTAAGAAGATGAAAGTTGGAAATATACTGTCTGTCCAGGGAGCTCTCATCTGTCCAAGATAAATATCCTCACTTTGATATTGACTAAAGGAGAATGCGATTCCACTCCACACCTCAAATCATGCCAACATCCACAGTCCCAGGATTGATTGGATTATTGAGGGGGCGTTTATTCAAATTAGAAGGGGACGCTTATTTAAACGGGGCGCTTAAGGATATTTTCACGTTTTCGAGAGGGGCGCTTATTCAAACGGGGCGCTTATTCGTGCGAGTACGGTATCTCCTCTATTCGAAACTAAAAGGAAATTATTACATTTGTGGGCGAAGAGGTCATGTTGTGTTGTTACATTTGTGGGCGTTATCACATAATTATGTGAGCGATGCTCGTCATGGTGAGAATTCAAAATAAAATGTTGACCATTTTTCCAACAATCATACTTACTTTCCTCGACACTTATTTTGAACATTATCATTAGGAAAATGTTTAAATCCATGCTACCCTATACCTTACACTTTTACACTGATTGTAGGCCTACTGTAGGCCCTACCAGAGAGGTACATTCACAATACATTATGGTCGTCCACTTCTATAGCGCATGACACAGTGCATAACAAACGTTATGTAACCACTAATAATACTCAGGGCCAGTGGCGTAAGTATGGGCAGTGCAGTCAGTGCACAGCACTGGGGCCTGGGGCTATTGGGGGCTCGTTAAATAGGTCTAATGATCTAAAAATATAACTTTTAAAAAATCATATTTAAACTTTAAAAGGACCCTTCAATTTACCTATTACCGATTTCCCAAACGCTGCAAGTAAAAAAAAAATAAATAAAAAATAAACAATAAACAAAAAAACAAGCCCTGACGTATACGATGCACTAATCTACTTTTTGAAATCACATTTCTAAAGCAATAAAATACCGTCACACACATTTGTGTTTGTGGTATTTTAAAGTTGGTTCAACTATTGTGTACGTTTTTAAACACTTCAGATCATCATAACTTCACGAATACATTTTAGATTCACTTCACTGCAAGTAAGTCGATGACTGTTGAATTATTGAATGGTAATTATTATTATCGTGATGGAATAGACAATATCTGGATTTGCGTCAGGAGAACCAATTGGGGGGCCTATATGTATTTGCCCAACCTGTCGTGAAAATGTATTGAATAAGGTACTCAGTGCGTGATAAATAAAATAATTTCGTCACGAACATTTGTATTTGTGGTAGACCCTATTTTAAAGTTGGTTCGACTATTATTGTGTACAATTTTAAACACTTCAGATCATCATACTTCATGAATACATTTTAGATTCACTTCAGTGCCACTGCAAGTAGGTCGATGACTGTTCTATTATTGAATGGTAATTGTTATTATCGTGATGGAATAGACA